GGGGGGGGGGGGGGGGGGGAGCGCGAGAAACAGCGTATTTAGCGCGGGCTTGCAGCCGGCCCAAAACTCAACCAACCGCAGGGCAAGTACACACACGAGTGTGACAGCTCTCGCTGATCCGGAGGGTCCGCCTACGCTTGTGTGTAGCACGAGGGAGCTCAGCTGCCAAGAAACAACTCGTGGATCAGGAAGGACCGACGCCATGTCGAGATCGCAGCGGCACGCGAATGGAGGAGGGAAGGGCAACGCGGATGTTGCCAAGGTACGCCCGACCGAGCTATTATAGCTCTGTTCACGATTGTTCGTGGCTGTCCTGTGCCGCGCGTGTTTGTTCTTGCCCCTCGGGATAGGGGACGCCCTCGAATATAACCGAAGAAGCAACCGGTCGCTCTTGTCCTTTTGCTGCTACCCTCCGGGGACGTCATCTGTCGAAAGGGCAGCAGGTGGCGTCCTAAAAAAAACTCGGCATGTTTCCTCTCGACCCACACAGCAAAGAAAGCCGGCGGTGCTTCTTCCTTCCCCCTGGCCCTTCTCTCTTTCAGCCCATAGTCCCAGCCGCCTTGAGGCGATCTTACCTAGTAGCGTTGCCAATCACGGACGTTTGATCTCCCTACGACACGCTGCGGCCGCGGCGTGTCAGCTGCTGGCCATCGAAGAAATCCTGTTTCGGAGCGGAAATGGATGGAAGGGGACGGAGGGAAAAATTCCATCTTGGAATTAGAGGGGGCACCGGTCGGGATGTCCCTCCTCGTACACCAAGCTCTGGAGTCAACCTCAAGAGAGGCGGCAAACTCGTCCAACAGATTTTGATTTCTTCTTATAAAAAAACATGGCGGCCATCCCCGGTCTTCCCATGTGTACCGTGTGGAAATTTACCGTCTGAATCGTGGCCTTCCTGGAACACCGCTTGCCCGGTCTATGGCCGCCGCCGTAGGCGTTCCATGGGTGAATCTTAATCTTTGGTGGTCTGGTTCGTCGTCTCTTTCCTTCATGTGTGTGTTGTACCTCCTTCGCAGTACCGCGATGCTTGCCCGGCAAGCCGCTCCGACTCTGAGATTGTGGAGCTGGTGAAAAAGATGGGAGGTGACCAGGCCAAGATCCAGAGCGCTCTTGAGGACTGGTGGCAAAGTGAGAATAAGGGAGCGTGCCGTCTGTGTGTATGTGTTTTTTTTATTATGATTAGCATCGACCGCGCTAACCGGCTGACAAATGTGTGTGTTTTTTATTATTATCAGTAGCATTGACCGCGCTAACCGGCTGACCAATGAAAAGACGTCAGTCTCAGTGCGGTTGAAAACACAAAAAACTTTCATCTGCCATGAACTGGGACCCCGTGAGGGGGCAGCATGGGGGAGGCTTAACTATCCTTCGGATCAAAGGCAGAAAACCAATGTGTGTTTGCGTGTGTTTTGTTTCGCTCTCGAGTAATAGGTGGGTGTGTTGCCAGGGTGTCAAGATTCAAATCGTCAACCTACCTACACCTATTAATAGTGATGTTTTTTTTATGGCACTGCTCTCTGGCTATTCAACACACACATCCATAGGTAATGTGTATGTACCGCTATTTCGGTGGTGCTGGGGGTCCTTCATTTTCGGATTTAGGTACCCTAATCGCAGCCTAGAATCTCGCCCCATCTGGCTAGCTGCGTCGCCCCTTGCGATAGCGTTATGAACACTTGCATTGATACCAGCAAGAATGTAGGCGTCACCATGTTCCATCCATCTGCTTCTTTATCCCGGTTCATGCTGGTACACATCTGTAATACCAAGGGCTCAACGTACATTGAGCAGTTTCTTGTCCCCCTCCCGAAGATGATTTGGGTACACGCTGCCGTGTGTGTGTCCCTCAAGTAGCTGCTCCTCGCCTTCCCCGGTCGCGTTGTATCCCTGTTTGTACCTTGCGTTGCCTGTGCGTGTAATACTGGCTCTGGTTCGTGTTCAGCACGCAGGAAGTGGAATATTGTGGTCTTGAGTCCATCGAGGTGTATCTACTACTGCCGCTGTTGTAGCTGCTGCTTTCCGAGGTTGGAAATGTGCGAGCGATGATACGCGTACAAATCAAACACACTTCAGCAGTTTGTGAGTGTACTTTCGCATCTGTCTCCCATACTCTTTTACCATGTCATGTTTTTTTAACGCTCCAGTTGTCTGGTTTGTGACCCCCTTCTTGCTTCTGTCCTCGGTTTTGTTCCACTCCCGATGTGACACGTGAATCGCTGTCCACGCACAGGACCAGCTGTATGGACAACTAGAACATACCAGACGCTCAACATTATACAGATGATGCTGTTGTCGGTGATCTTACTGCTGCAGTATGTGTTTCGTCTGGTATATGTAGCAGGATGTGCACACGTGATCTCCACTAAAATACATGACTACCGGTGTGCTCTTCGTCATTCACGATTACCACGATGATGCCACCTTGCCCAGACGACCAAGCCCACAGCTACAAACACACAAGGTACACAAACTTGAGCACGCAGTCACTGACATGACGCCTGCCGTACATGAAACCGTCCAAACCCTACGAACCCCCCTCGCCTGGAGTATTCCAAGCACTCAACAGCACACCACTTGCTTGCTTTTTCTATTGCAGATGACCAAGGTGAGTGGGCCACCGCCACGACGAAGAAGAAGAAGCAGACCGCTCCTCAGCAGCACCACCACCACCCTCGTGGCGGCGGCGGTGGCTACGCCAACGGGCGGGGTGTGGACGATCGAAGGGGCGGGCGCGGAGGCATGGCGGACAAGATGCGGGGGGTGAGAGAGGATGCAGGATTCGTGTGTGTGTTTTGTGTCTGTTCGTTGGCGACGGAAATTGTGGAAGATGGGAAGGCCTTATCGTGTGCTTGACGCAAAAGGGGTGTGTGGGTCGGGTACAGGAACAGGTCGTTTGCCCTCCCCCCCTTCGTTGGTGGTCCTGTCTCTGTCACTCAGACGGAAATGCCACTGCTGTGTGGTACATACTTGTCGGTGGGTCTATTTTCTTGATTTCGTTGCGCCGGAAAAGCGGAGCACGATGTGGCCACTCTATCCGGTCGTCTGCCGCAACAGCAGCAGCAGCAGGAGGAGCCTTTGCCTCCAGCACAGTCGCCTTTCTTGCCGTCCGTTCTTCACGTACCACACTACTTTGTCCCAGCGATTTTTCCGCGTGTCTCTTTGTTGTCTTATTCACCTCGCTCACGTACAGCTCCGCCTCGACGGTGACCGCGGCGGCTACCGCGGAGGAGGCGGCGGCGGCGGGCGGGGTAGGGGACGCAGCGCCCCCCCGGCCGGCGGCCGTGGTGGCGGCGGTGGCCGCGGGAGCGGCGGATCTCACCTCTCAGGCGGCTGGGGCGGCGCCTCTGCTCCCAGCGGCGGCGGAGGCGGCGGCGGCGGTGGGGCTTGGAACGGCAGCAGCAGGTCAAGTTCAATCCCTCCTCAGGTGCGCGAAGTGCAAGGTTAGGCTGTTCGATGTAACTTCTTTTGTTGTTGCTGTTGCTGTTGTTGTTGTTGTTGCTGTTGGTGCTAGTTTCTGCGTGTCGCGTTTTAGCTGTGGTATCGCCGCGTGTCTGCGCTATCGTGCTTTGGGAGCTTTGGGCGGAGAAAAAGCTGAAGTGTAAAACAAGGCGGGGATTTGACGCAGGGATATGAAGGAGTTCCTTGTTCTGGCAGAAGGCGTTCCTCAGATCGTATTGTACGGCTTGCCGGTGGTGAAGGGGCACTGCGGTAGTGTTGGTGGTGTTTCCTGCAAAAGGGACTACTCAGTCCTTGCAGCGTGCATTCAACTTTCGCCCCCCCATGCGGCACTCGATCTATCTACGCTATTTCAGGTCGCCAATTCGTCGACGGAGTCTAGCGGTGGCTGGGCAGTGTCGGCAAAGGCACCGGCGGCCGGAAGCGCGTGGACCGGCGACGGTCCCACCGCAGTAACTGAAGCCGCCGCCGCAGATGCAGGCACCGATTCGTCCTCCCCCGCTGCCGCGGTGACGGCCGCGTCCGGAGGTGGAGGGTGGGCAGCAGCCGTAGGAGGCAGCGCGCCGACGTCATCGCCGGGACCCTCTGCTACCGCCGCGGCGGCATCGGGCAGCGCCTCCGGATGGAGCGGCGGGAGCGGAGCCGCTGATGCTGCTGGGTCTTCGTCTTCTTCCCAGGCGCCGATGGCGCATAACGGTTGGTCGAGCAGCGCGCACGACCCCGTGGCTCCGGGACCGGTGGGCAGCGGAAGCGGCTCACTCGGAGGAGCAACAGCAGGCGGCGCGGCGGCGGGCGCCCCTCAGCCACCGCCGCCAAAGGAGGAAGACGCGACTGCCTGGGCGCAGTCGAACCTGCCAGCGACCTCGGCGTGGAGCCGCGGCGCGGCCACGATCATCAACCCCAAGCCGAAGCCGGTGCCCGTGGCGCCGGCGCCTGCGGCGCCTACGGCACCGCCGGCGCCCGCCGCGCCCGCCGCTCAGCCCGCCGCCCAGCCCGCACCCGCACCCACCGCCGCCGCCCACCCCACCCTTCCGGTAGTGGCATCGCCCGGAAGGGAAGCGGTAGCGGCGACGCCGCCGCAGACCCCCCGACCGCAGGGCTCCATGCCTTCGGTGGCGGAAACGGCGGCGGCGGTGGCTTCGCCCGCGATTGGGTCCCCCGCGGTGGCGGTTAGCTCGCCGTCGCCGGTGGCGCGTCCGGCGGTGTCGGCGGCCGCTGTCGCTGTCACCCCGCCGGTGCAGGTGGCGAGCGACTCGGCGGCGGTGGCGGCCGCTGCTGCGGTGGCGGCAGCGCCATCGCCTGTAACGGCGGCTGCAGTGACCCCGGCGACTGCTCCTGGTTCTCAGCTCCACCTTCAGAAGGCGCAGGCACAGGAGGCTTCGGCCGTGTCTAAGCCTACAACAGTGAGATTCAGCCTTGGTGTTCTTTAATTTGTGTTTTTCTTCGTTGGCACCTATTGCATCGAATGGGGTCGAGAGACGTGTTGGTAGCTTGTTGGCTCATGGTATGCATATACACATTGTGTTTTGGTGCCATCACGCTTTGGTCACAAGATGCATAACTGTGTCCTTGTGCAAGTTTATGGTATCTCAAGCGGTGTCGAAGACCCGTGTCGGCTTGCGTTGGGCGGACTTATTGACTTCCCTCGCATGCAGTAGTCGAATCAAGCGCCGTTGTTGTTGGTGATGGCGGCGCGCGCTTCTAGTGGGTTAATGGCGTGGGGTTGCTTGGCATCGATATGCACCACTGGCTCTTTGATTTTTGCTTTCGGCAGGCCACGGGCGCCTCTGCCCCCGGGGAGGGCCTGAAGATGGGCAAGTGGGGATTGAGCGACACGATCGCCAACGATGAGTCGTTCTTGAGCTTCGGCCAGCTGTCGTTCGGCGTACCGGACGTTGGGGGTCCGGAAAGCCAGTCCCAGGTATGTGCTGTGCTTGCAGGCACGTTGGTTGGTTTTCACGATGAAGTTTTCATGTCTGTTTTTTTTTTTTTTAATGTATTTTCCGTGTGTGTTGTAGCTTTTTGCCGAGTGCGTGTAAGGGATGTGTGCATGTGCGCCCGCCTGTTCCAGAAGAACGGCTCAACGGCCAGGTGGTGGGAGTGGTTTGTGGCTTGAGGGACCATAGGTTGTTTACCGGCGCCCGGGATCCCGCCAACATTGGCAGGAGATGACCTTCCTGCCAACAAAAAAAAACGCCTCCGGAACCCCTTCTACAAACCCATTTTTGAATTGGAACCGCCGGCGCCGGTGCGGCGCCACAACGGCATACCCGCGGATCCTAACCCTACCCCTACGGGTCAGCGGTCCTGAGCAGACCACAGCTCGAAGGAGGCTGAGTAGACCACCAGCGGCAGCATGCAAGTTGCTGCTGCGAGTGCTAGTGCTAGGGCCAGTCTTGCGAGCTTGTCGACTTGCGAGACAGATGGAAGTGCTGCGCCCGCGACCAGCTCGCGAGGGACTGCATGGAGTGGAGACTCAGAGGCAGGCGTTGAGGCGCGTAATGATGAGGGGAAAGATAACATGGTGGTAGCTGCACGCGAGGCGGTCGTGTCGTAGGTATGACTTGCTCCGTTCGCTTCAGCGGTGGTGTTCTCGCCCTGTCTTATCGCTGTGCTGTCATGGTATGGAGCTTCAGCGTCTACCACCATGTTATCTTTCCCCTCATCATTACGCGCCTCAACGCCTGCCTCTGAGTCTCCACTCCATGCAGTCCCTCGCGAGCTGGTCGCGGGCGCAGCACTTCCATCTGTCTCGCAAGTCGACAAGCTCGCAATACTGGCCCTAGCACTAGCACTTGCAGCAGCAACTTGCATGCTGCCGCTGGTGGTCTACTCAGCCTCCTTCGAGCTGTGGTCTGCTCAGGACCGCTGACCCGTAGGGGTAGGGTTAGGATCCGCGGGTATGCCGTTGTGGCGCCGCACAGGCGCCGGCGGTTCCAATTCAAAAATGGGTTTGTAGAAGGGGTTCCGGAGGCGTTTTTTTGTTGGTAGGAAGGTTATCTCCTGCTAATGTTGGCGGGATCCCGGGCGCCGGTTGTTTACAGGTGGCGTATCTAGGTTTCCTTTTCCATAACCCCCCCCCCCCCCCCCCCCCCCCCCCCCCCCCCCCCCC